GGGCAGAATGGTCCGTCAGTTGTGGCGACAGGGACCCATACGCCCTTGCTTTCTTGGTCAGTTTTTGAGTGAGGGATGAGGAGCCACATTGCCGTGGCCTCGAATTGGATGTCCTCCCACTGGATTGCCACCAGGTCCGAGAAGCGAAGAAAGGCCGAGTACATGAGAAGCACGATGAAGCCTTTCTGGTAGGTGCCTGGATCGCTGGATTGGAGGAAGGGTCCCGCCATTTCCTGGACTTGGTGAAGGGAGACAGGCTCTTTCGCTCGTGTTGGCCGAGGGCAGTGTCGTTTGGCGTACTCTCGGACTTGCGTTGTGAAAGGGCCGTTCGCTGGGTTGGCCGACCCTGTCATTCGATGGGCAAAGCTGACTGCTGCGCATGTGAGCTGTACAGTGGAGACTGTGGCCTTGTGGTTGATCGCATGCACTAAGTAGAGTGCTAGTGTTAGGTCCGCAGCAGGCAAGAAATCCACCTTGGCCTTCGTGCAAAAACTGCGAAATTTCTCCCAGTATGGTTCGTATGTGTTGATTGTTGATTCCGATCGTGTCTTGGCTGTCATGAGAAGTAGCTGGTGATGCAACCTTGGAAGCATATCTGTAATCATAAGATACAAGAGTGGTACATCAAGTTTTGTAACTGACTTTCAACGCTAGGATTCGACTGACTGGAAGACCAACACCCGAGAATGCACGTTGATGTGAGCCCACATGCTAGCATTGACTACCACTAGCAAGATAGAGGTTGGAGGAGATGCCGATTGCCCAGGTGTGCGGGGAGGGTCGGATTAGGGGCCACCAAGCAGCGCCCGTCCATTCGGGAACGACTAGCGTCAGTGTGGCGTTCGTGCGTGCGGCATGGTGCATGGTCGCTGGGATGAGGCTTGGCGGCGGGAATGCGAAGCCGTGCTCTGATCCCCAATCGAGCGAGAACGCATTGATGGCAGTTGCACGTGGGTGCGGATGTTTGGAGCAAAAACGCAAGAGCTGTGCGTTGTTGGCGTTCGCGAATAGGTCGATGGTGTGTGATCCCCAATGCCTTTCCAATAATCGAAACCACGGGAGCTTGAGCGAGTAATCATCATGATCTTCAAGTTTGGACAACTGAATTTCGTGCGCCATGCAAATTGCGACGATGGACTTGCAGAGAAGAGTGAGCTCAGGCTGCCTGGAGCCACCTTTGCGAAGAATGAAGAATACTCCTTGGTTGTCTACTCGAATGAGTACGTGGCGGCCTTGGATCTGGTCCGTGAATGTTCGTAGCGCCCATAACACTCCCTCGAGCCCTCGGCGTGTGATCGATGTGGAGAGGAGCTCTGTTGGCATGGGGCTGCTTCCTTGCGAGCTTCCGCCGGGGAAGGATAAAAGGGTCGCACCCCAGCTGTGCGCACTAGCGTCGACGTGAATGACCGTATCCAGGCTGTGGGGCATGTGAAACAGAGCCCCGTTAAAACGGTCAAAATGGTCGAGCCAGAATTGGAGCTCGTCGCGAACCTCCGAGGTCAGGGTCACTCGTGCGTTCCATGATGGCGCCTCATTGATGAGTGCCAAAAGTTGATGACTAAAAGAGCACGCCGTAGCACCAAGGGCGAGCGCCATGGATGCGAGAATGCCGGTGACCCGAGCAACAAGGCGAATTGACACCCGTTGGTTGCGCTTGTAGGCGAGAAGCAGCACATGTAATGCTTGTGTGAGTTGCGCCTTCCTCTCCTGACCGATTGTGAATCTCCCTGATGCGGTATCCAGCTCCATTCCTAGGAAGTGCAATTTTTGGGTCATGATCAAGTGCGACTTCTTTGCGTTGATGACGAGCCCAGACTCTTTGAGATCTCGAACGATTGCGCTACCTGTTGACGAGCGTCCGGTTCCGAGTTGCAAAGGAACAATATATCGTCGACGTAGGGTATGACCCGAATATCTTGCGCTCGCCATTTTCAGGCCAACTGTTTGATCAACTGGGTGAAGAGGAAAGGCGCTGTAGCGAGGCCGAACGGCAACTATTTGAAAAAGTAGTCGGTGCCTTCGAAGTGAAAGCCCAGAAATGTCCAGCAAGACGCATGAATGTCGATATGATGATAGCCCGACTTTAAGTCGATTGAGAACATCCAATCGCCCGGCTTTGCCAGTTCGGCGACGCGAAGAAGACCCTCGTACTTGAATTTGGGAACGATGAGGTATTGATTGACCTTTCGCAAGTCAAGAATGAGGCGGCACTTGTTGCGTTGTTCCACTACGTTGGTGGGCTGATGCATGTAACGGTAGATGAGCTAGAAGCAACTGCTGCTGCTCCAGACGTGAGCAATTCATGGATTGCAGATCGGGTGAAGTCAGTGTGCTTCGTGACTCCGGCATGATTGTGGTCGCGAAACGACGGTGGTGGGAGTGCCTTCCAAGGGAGCCAATATCCATTAGCAATGACCGACAGGATCAAGGAGCTCTCGCACCAGGAAGCCCACTAAGCGAAGGCCTGTCGGAGACGGCCGCCCATGGTGGTGACTTCACGATCGGTGACTGCGGTTGCTAGGAACTCGTCCTGTTCCCCCGACCATGGGGGCGTGGCAACTGCCATGGGGGATTTTGTTTCGGGGTGGCAAAGACAGACGGTTGAACCGTGATGTTAAAATACATGATATGTATCGTCGCGCTCGTGTGAGCGGGTGATTCACGCGCGACGATGTGCAAGTCTTGGGTCCCATAAAAGAAATGAGGTTTCTAGTGCGGGTGAGTGGGATATGGCGAAGAGTCCATTTGATTCAAACGAGTATTACCCCTCTTTGTGGTTGCAAAAAATGGGAGCCATTCAAGTGAGGCTCCATGCTTTGTATGCGCTCGCATCTATCTCTCTCCCCCCACCCCCCACCCCCTTTTTTTTTTTTTTTTTTTTTTGTAACCCTACTCCACGAGAGGTTCCCCATATGGGGCCTTGGAATAGTTCCTGGGTTTGGGGTGAATTTAATAGCCCAATGGCTTGGTAGCAACAAGCACTATTGTCCAATGTGGACTCACTAGCATTGTGGCTTTCTCGTACTATCGGGTTGGTCGTGGCCTCCTTTACCCTTCTTTCTCTCTTGCTCTCTCTCTCTCTCTCTCTCTCTCTCTCTCTCTCTCTCTCTCTCTCTCTCTCTCTCTCTCTCTCTCTCTCTCTCTCTCTCTCTCTCTCTCTCTCTCTCTCTCTCAAGCAGTCCTTCATTGATAGGTTCATAGGGGTACAGGCATGGCAGGAATAGAGCTAGGCAGGCCTAGGCATTTGGGGCTACTCATCATGCATGGCAGGAGCGTGATACGAGCAGGACATCTGCACACAGACAAGCCGGTCAAGTGAGGCAAGCCAGGCCGACAAAGCAACCAGCAAACCAGCAAAGCAGGGCACTGCAGGGCAAGGCCAAGCACGGCCAGCAGTCGAGGCAAGCTGGTCATTCAGGCCAGACATGCAGCCGACAAGCCATGGCTACATCACCGGCCCACACCTACTCCCGCCTACTGAGCCATAACAACCTCCAGCTCATCCTCCAGCACTTGCCAGAGGTCCCCCAGGCTAGGTTCCCAAGGGTCCCTAGCAGCCTGGGGGAACGCTGCTTCATCAGATAGGTTTGACTTGTTCAGGTAGGACGTTGCTTGGGATCGCTGCAGCATCACAGACCAGCGCTGCCAGTAGTGTGCAGTGAGTCGTGCAGTCATCGTTGTCAACTTCCCCTGGCGGTACTTCTTCTTAGCCGCTGCGGTGGCCAGTAGCCGTAGGAACTCCTGTGTGTCTGAGGACAGGGCCCCATACGTCTCAACTGCGAGGCCAAAGAAGCCGACGTAGTCTGGCCGATCCTCGTATTCCCTGTGCTTCCTAGCCGAGGCCTCCTCAGCCGCCCATCCTGGTGGCTTCCGTGCCCTGGTGTCACGCTGCTGGAGCACAGGGTCAGTCACTGTCACATCTGTAACCCAGGTCTCGTTTGATTCCCTGTCTCGAATCGCCAGATCTCCCCTCTTCCTGAGGATCGGTGGGGAAAAAGCCGATGTCTCGTGGAAGCACGTGAAGTCCGCTTCCCTTGCCATCCTGAGTGCTGCAAACACTAGCGCGTTGTGCGTTCTGACGACGTCGCCCCCGTACCCGCACCTAAGGAGATGGTTCGGCAGACTCGGGTCGTTGATGTCAGAATGTTCTCTCTTGCAGGGACACTTCTCAGTGACCGGCAGGGACATGCCTAAGCGGAACCCCAGCGCCAAAGAGAACTGACCAGGGGCAAATGTAAGGTCAGCTCTCGTAGGCACGGCATGCAGCCAGTCCCCTGCCCCCACCCCCTGTAGGCTGATGAGGCGGATGGCGTGCCCGCGGTGTGCACCTGGGCGGTCTTTGATCGTGTCAGCCAGTAGTTCCGCTGCCCGTCTCTCATAGATGTGGCGGGAGAGTAGTAGCTGAAGGTTGCCCTGTCCTGCTGGCTGCTCCCTGAACGCCTGTAGTGTGGAGCGTGCTGACGCCGGGAGTGCTGCCTCCAGTGGGGCTAGCTGGTTGACCTCAGGTGGGGCCGGGCTCCACGCATGGTCGAGCCGCGTGACCGCCCTCTTCAGCAGGTACGCCTCTGGCAGGTTCATCTGCCGCAGTAGGGTGTGGGCCGCCGTTACTGACGCTATGTAGGCTGCCGGTGCCTCCGAGGCAGGGTCAATGATGCCTAGCCCTCCCAACCTGACGGGTAGGGTTCCTTGCCGCCACAACAGGCTCTGTTCCAGCTCACTCGCTGGGACCCGTAGCTTTGCTGCCGCCAGAGCTGTCGCCATCAGAGTCTCACTCCAAGACCTCCACTCCTCCTTCTCCAGCACTGTAGCCGGGGTGGTCCGCAGCAGGTACGATATCCTGCGGGAAATGCTCCGCGAGAGTATTAGCATAGCGTGCTGTGGGTGCAGCTGAGCAATCAGAGGCAGCGGTACGGCGGCTTCTGTAAGGCTTGTCTGTGCCTTATCGGTGCAGAAGTCGGCCGTGCCAATCGGGCTTCCCAAAACTCCGATGCCGTTGGTGTTCATGGCCAGGCCCTGCGGTGGTGGTATCTCATTCCCTCCTTCCGCATCCGGTCCCCACCCCGAGGACTTGGCGATGTTGCAGCGGAGGCCAACCGATCGGAGCTCCCTTGTGATGGTCCCAAAGGCCTCATAGGCCGCGTCCCGAGGGCCCACAATGGTGATGTCGTCGGCGTAGGCGACAATCGCCACCTCGGGGAGGAGCGTCGCCGTGCTCAGAAGCGTCGGTTGGATCGCCGTTGCGAAGAGGAGCGGACCGAGCGGATCACCCTGGCGGACTCCTCGGTTGCTCATGATCTGATCGACGCCAAGCTTGTGGTCCACTAAGAGCCGAGACGGCCCGTCGTAAAGCGTGCGTACGAGGGGTAGGAGTGATAACAGGCTCGATTGCGAGAGCGCCTGAAAGAATGCCGGCCGTTTGACACTGTTGAAGGCGTTCTCAATATCGAGCTGTAGCGCTACTCGGCTCTCGTCCTCTTGAAGCAGCGATCGGACTGAGTGGACGATGCACTCTGCGCCGCCAGTGACTGCCACCCCAAACTGAACGGGGAGAAAGTACTCGCGAATGGTCTGCACTAATTCCCTCAAAGCCGCCTTTGCCACTACGCGGAGTATTGCTTCTCCTATCGCGATGGGCCTCACGCCTCCTCCCGGTTTTTCCAGAGCGATGAGTCTTGAGGGCAGTAGCAAGTCGCGAACCGCCTGGGTCTGGAAGGTGCTAAGGAGGTAGCTGATAATCTGCGCGAGGAGTATGAGCACCTCCTCACTCGCGAGCGCAGGGTCTTTGAGGTGTTCGAAGCAAGTACCTGATGGGCCTGCTCCCACTCCGTTCGGGCATCGCTTGAGTAGTTCACGAAGGTCATCTGGTGTTACCCGCAGCTCCGAATGAGTGTAGCCGGAAACGAACCTTGCCGGGGGCGATGCAGCATCGGGGTGTTTCGCCCGCAGTGCAGCGAGTGTCGCTGGTGTGGTTTCGGCGAGTGGGGTTGCGCGTAACGCTGCAACTGCCTTCGAGATGTTACCCTTCTTCATAAGTCCTTCCGCCCTAGCACAGAGTCCAGCGTCATCGGCTCGGTGGCGTGACAGGTTCTCCGTATCGGGGATGACCTTCGCCTCCTCGAAGAGTTCTGCCCAGCTGCCTTGCTGGAACCGGTGTAGCCTTCCCTCAATTCCAACCCACCGGCTTCCTTGAACTGGTTCGGGAAGGGGCCGCAAGGTCAGCCTCGGTAAGAATTGCAGGATCACCCATGCACCTGGACAGTCGGGGTTTTTCTGCAGGCGTAGGAGTGGTGCCAGCACGCAGAGGGTGTAGCTTTCCAAAATTTTGGGGGGCATCCTCCGAACCAAGAAAGGTTGGTCCCCTCGCTGAAGTGGGGCAACTTCCCACGTGGCCGCCTGCTGCCAGATGGCCTCGTTCGCCGCCAGCCCAGCCGGTGACTGTACGGTAGGTTGCCCGGTTTCTCTCTGGCTCCCACTCGTCACTGCTCCGATCTCTCCCCGTTCGTGGTGGTTTCCCTCCTGGGGGTTTCTCGCACCAGGGTTTCTGTCCTGGGGGTTTCTCGCACCAAAGTTTCTGTCCTGGGGGTTTCTCCCAATTGCTCTCCGTCCCCTCTCTCTTCCTGTAGTGTCTCCCTCCACCTCCAGCGAGATCTCTTCTGAGGTATCGGGGGTCTCGGCTACATAATCCCCCCCATCCTCCCCATTCCCCGTGTCCCTCTCCTCCTGATTCGTCGGTGGTGCCTCCTGCTCCGGGCGGTCGTGGTGTTCCCGCCACGTTCCCGATCTCACAAGCGCCTCTCTTCCGCCGACGATTGCGCCCCCGCCCCTTCTTCCACCTCTTGCCCCGCGTCCTCCGCCTCGGGCCCCACGGATCGGTGCTCCCTCCCCGGTCCTGCTCTCGTCGTTCCGCCCCCCTCGTCCGGCCTGTGGCGCTCTTCCCACCGGGATCCACGGTGAGTGTGTCTGTCTCGCTAGTCCCAGCCTCGGACGGCCCCAGGTAATCCCTTGTGGGCGGGTGGAGCTCCGTGTTTCCCGCTGTGGGCCTTGGGTAGTCACTGCCTCCGGGCTGATGTGTCCTGCCACGTGCCTGACGTCAGCTTCCTCGTCGCCTTCCTCTCTTTCTTGTCCCACAGATGGAGGTTGACGCTCTGGCGTTAGTGGCGACTGCTCTTGCTCACTCCAGCCCCGGAGGGGTCCCGGGGCGCCAAGCCCCAGCCCTGCTCCGGGCCGCCTCGGCGCTGGCTGGGCACGGAGCCTCCTACCGCCCTTCCCGCGAGCGGCGCGTACAGGGGCGACGGTCCCGTGACCCCGTCTTCCGCTCGCCGCCTGGTCGCGCTCCTGCGTGTCTGCGCCCTTGGCAGCAGCAGATGTTCCGGCGCTCACAGCGGCCACCGGTACCTCCCCCTCGACCGGAGCGTTGGCCTGGTTCCCTGCCGCGGTCGCGGCAGTCATCGCCGCAGCCAGGACCGCCGCCGGTACCGGCGCTGGTGACGCAGACAACGCCACCGCCTCCGACGGTTCCAGATCCACCGCCGGACCCAGCTCCAGCGTCTGCTGTTGTGCCCCCTGGTGGTTGGCAGAAGGTGAAGTTGAGCCACCGCCAAAAGCGGCGGCAGTTCCACCCGCCCGCCCCAATGCCGTCACAGCCTCCGCTGGCACCTCCGCGGCAGCAGCCACCTCACCCACCACCTCCACCGACGCCGTCACCGCCGCGACGCTTCCCCTTTCCACCGCAACCGCCGCCGCCTCGTCCCTCGGCGTCTCCTGTACCTCAGCCCTCCTCGTCGGCCGTACCCTCACCGGCGCCGTTGGAGTGCCCGCAGCTGTTTCTTGGCGGGAGGCTGATCCCAATCCCGTGGGAGGTGATGGGGTATCTGAGGGCAGAGGAGGCTCCAGGTGTGCAGTCGCCCCCGCCATCAACTCTGCCATCGTCTCCTCCTCCGCCTGTCGGTCCTGATCCCTCCCCCCCACTGTCTCCGGAGGGGATTTCGCCGCCGGGCTCCCCGCCGCGGGGCAGGGCCCACCGCGTCGCTGAGCGCGTTGGGCACGTGGGGACATGCCTGACGTTGTTGGCAATGGTCCTCGACCAGCTGCACCTTTTCCAGCTGCGGCAGATACGTCCTGGGGAGGTGCCTCCGGTGTTGTCGGCAACTGAGCAGGAGGAGGGTGTGGCAGCGGCGATGCAGATGCTGGAGATGCTGCCTTTGATTGGGCTGGTCCCGGACTCCCCTGGCGCCGCCTTGGGAACTGGTCCTGCTGCGCTGAGGCGGCTTGTTCTTGCCGCCCTGAAGGACCCACGGGACGTGGTACCGGCTGCCGCATCCGTGCTATGCTGGATGGACGGCCGGTTGAGTTGGATCCTGGCCGAGTAGCGGCCTTCTTCCCTGTGCCTGCCTGCTTGGTTGCAGGCCTGGCCCTGGGCTTCCCCATGGCGGTATCTCCTCGTCTGGGGGTGTTGCTCTTGTTGTGTGTTGTCACTTGTGCATGTTGTAGCCTTTCATAATTATAGACTTGTCCCCTCTGGTCCTTGTCACACCTCACGCGCGGCCGGAGGCCGCGCTGGCGAGCGGCGGCCGGCGAAGGCGGCCGGCGCGAGCCGTCGGATTTGGAGAGTGATCCTAACTCACCAGTGAATAATGAGCTCACCAGCCTAGATCCAGGGCCTTTATACTAAGGAAACAGGCCTAGAAATGGCTAAGGACTAGATCCTAGGGAAGAGAGGCCTAGAAATGGCTAAGGACTGAGCTATGCCATCTCTCTCTCTCTCTCTCTCTCTCTCTCTCTCTCTCTCTCTCTCTCTCTCTCTCTCTCTCTCTCTCTCTCTCTCTCTCTCTCTCTCTCTCTCTCTCTTTTGGATGACATAGCTTGTCATAAGGGGCTGATTCTCCAAGGCCCATGGCCTGAGCAACATTCCATTATAAATCAAAATACAATTTCATAAACCACCCGGGCTTTGCGTTAAAACGCACACACACACACATACACACGTACGCAACGGCCTAGAGCATTCCATGCCTCTAGCCTTAGGCTAAACAGCCACTACCAAGGACCCCTGGTCCATGCCCGGCCCAGCCACCCCCCACCCTTCATCAAGGCTGCCAAGATATGAAAGCCTTGGGTGCGGGGCAAGAGGGGGGGGGGGGGGGGGGGGGGGGGTCTTTGGGCTTCTCTCACACCACCGGTGCGGGCCCATTGCCCCCATGGCCTCCATGGGGGCATGCACTGGCCATGTGGCCGTTCTGGCCACAGCGGAAACAGGTGCCTTTGAAGCCCCTGCAGCCGTTGCCGCTGCCCATGGTCTTTGGCATGAAGGGGGGGGATTCCCGGTGAAACGGGCGGCTCCCGCGGGAGAAGCAGGTCTTCATTCGCTTGAGGGCTGCCATATCCGCCACCGCCATCTTGAAGGAGCGTGAGGTGAGCACCGCCGTAGTCTTCAGGAGCTGGTAACGCTCAGCCACATCGAATCCAGCGTGGTCGGCGACGACCAAGACGTCGAATCGGCGCTTGATGAGTTCTTGGGCTTGGCCGACGGTTTTAAGAGCACCGGCGGCGTCGCCGCCACGGATCTTGTGTTCCACGTGTGCCAGATAGGTCTGAAGCGCCTCAAACACCTCCGCCTGGTCACGGACGCCCTTGCGGTTGAAGGCGGCGGCCGCGGTAGAAGGGTGAGGAGAGGGGAGCGGGGGGAGGAGATCGTTAGGCGAGAGATGCATGGGGTTGTTTGGTTCCTCACCCGCATCGCTGTCGGAGTCGGAGTCGGAGTCGTCCGGGGCAGCAGGTTCATCTTCGACAGCAGGAGCCTTTCCCTTGTCGGCGCGGTGAGTTGTGGCGACTCGCGCGGAAGTGGCGACGTTGTTGCGGGCGTTTGCAGTTTTAGCGGAAGCGAAATTTTCCGCTTCCGTTGTAGCTGCCGGCGTTGTAACGGGAGCCGCGACCTGCTTTTGGAGAAGCGCCAGCAGCGCCGCCACTTGCGAGGGCGAAAGATTCGCCGCCGCCCCCTCGGTTGCAGGCGAATCCGTCGCCCTCCGCTTTGGGGGGGAGCGCGATCCTCCCGCGTCAGCAGCAGTGATGACGACGAAGTCGTCATCATTGGCGACTGCAGGCCCATGAGCCTGCTCGTGGGACGCGCGTGGCTGGGACGCGCGCGAGCGTGTGCCGCCGCCCTCGCCGAGCAGCACGTCCACCCCAGTGTGGGGCCCCTCGGCGTTTTCCTCGGTGGGGCGTTTTCGCTTCTCCGCGCCGGTTTCCCGGGTCGATTTTTCAAGCCCCGACGACGGCCGAGGAGTTGCGTCCTTAGCCCGGGGCTATTGTTGTTCGTCGGCGCCATAGTCGCAAGGTTGCGGTCGAGGATGTCGGAGAGGAGCGTCGAGGGAGAAGTGAAGCGAGGAAGACTCTTAGTCCTCGCCAGCTTGGACGAAAAAAATCGAGAACTTGAAAACTGAAATTTTGAAATGAAAAACGTGGGTGAAGGCCAAATGGCCTTCGCCCCCTCTTTTATACCGAAAAGAGGGGGAAGTAACGGTTCGCCGAAGCATTTTGCTTCGGTACAAATATCTTCGCTATTGACAATACACAATTTAAAAAGTGTTACACACTTTCAAAAATTTACATATTTTACTATTTGTCTCTGTGTTGCCTGACTGTATTGGAGCCTTTCCGGCTTGGTTCGTGCGCAAAGAAAAGTTCGGCGCCCATGAATTTGGTTGTTTTTGCCGACAAATGCTTAGGATGCGCCCGAATCCCCGTAGGTGTAGGGAAAAGCATTCAAGAACCTCAATATCATTGCATATTCGAGTGGCTCATGTTCAAATACACATATCGAAGCCTTTCCGGCTTGGTTTGTGCGCAAAGAAAAGATTGGCGCCCATGAATTCGGCTGTTTTTGCCGACAAATGCTTAGGATGCGCACGAATCCCCATAGGTGTAGGGAAAAGCATTCAAGAACCCCAATATCATTGCAGATTCGAGTGGCTCATGTTCAAATAGATTTATCGAAGCCTTTCCGGCTTGGATCGTCCTTTCTGGCTTGGTTCATGCGCAAAGAAAAGTTCGGCGCCCGTGAATCCGGCCGCTTTTGCCGACAAATGCTTAGGATGCGCACGAATCCCCATAGGTGTAGGGAAAAGCAATCAAGAACCTCAATATGATTGCATATTCGAGTGGCTCATGTTCAAATACACCTATCGGAGCCTTTCGGGCTTGGTTCGTGCGCAAAAAAAAGTTCGGCGCCCATGAATCCGGCCGTTTTTGCCGACAAATGCTTAGGATGTGCACGAATCCCCATAGGTGTAGGGAAAAGCAATCAAGAACCTCAATATAATTGCAAATTCGAGTGGCACATGCTTTAATAGACCTATAGGAGCCTTTCCGGCTTGGTTCGTGCGCAAACAAAAGTTCGGCGCTCATGAATCCGGCCGTTTTTTGCCGACAAATGCTTCGGATGCGCACGAATCCCCATAGTGTCAGAATGTGATATTTGTCTAGCCTGCAGTGTGGTACTCTATAGCGAATATAGCCCAAATTAGGGTTTGCTATATGTACTCAACTGCCTGCTAGTGCAAACACCTTTTCCTGTTTCTGATTCCTGCCTAGACTTTCCGATATGCTATCAGAGCAGGTCGACCCTCCTGGGTCGATCCTGTGGGTGGTCCCACCCGATGCTTCCGCTGCTGTCCTGCCTATCGCACGCCCTGGGCGCGCGATGTTTCCTGCCTGCCGCCCGCTCAGGGTGCGCGGCGTTTTTTCTTCCCGGCGCGCGCTCGGGGCGCGCGGCGGTTTTTCTGCCCCGTCAACCCGCGCGTCGCCCCCCGTCGACGGTCGCGTCGCCCCCCGGGAGCCCGTCGCGTCGCCCCGCAGGTCTGCGCGTCGCCCCCGCTGCCCCGTCGCGGCGCCCTGGGGAGCCGCGCGCAACCCCCGCTGCCCCATCGCGACGCCCTGGGGAGCCGTGCGCGGCCCCCCGCTGCCCCGTCGCGGCGCCCTGGGGAGCCGCGCGCGGCCCCCCGCTGCCCCGTCGCGGCGCCCTGGGGAGCCGCGCGCCATCCCCCGAGCTGCTGCCCGCGCACCGCCCCCCGCTCCTGCCTGGGTTAGGGTTTAGGGGTGGCGAGTGTGGGGGTGGCGAGTATGGGGGTGACGGGTGTGTGCGCCGTCCCCAGCTCCTCCTCCGTCTCCTACTGCTGCAGCTGCCGCTGAGGGGGGTGGACGTGTTGGAGCCGTCGGAGTGGTACGAGGGGGGTGGCGTGTGAGTAGTGCTAGAGGTACAGCAGGGAGTGTGTGAAAGGGGTGTGGGACAGTTGGGGGAGGTTGACCGGAGGTAGCCGTTGTGACGTCAGCAGCGCCAGTAGTCTGGAGGTTGAGTGCTCTGGTAGCCCAGCGAGCCTGCTGCGTCAGTCGCCCGTGGGTCCGTTGCTCCGGCTGCTCGTCTTAGCGCAGAGCCAGTTACTCATGTAGTCCGGAGGTTGAGTGCTCTAGTACCCACCGTGCGCGCGCTCCTATTGCCCGTGTGACTGCGGCTTCACCCGTCGCCTTTTATCTCCACTCCTCTCACAGTCTCTCGTCCTCCTCACTTGCCCTCTGTGATAGCCACAAGATTTGCTTATCATTGTGACCTATTGCTCTGCCTGCTTGTTGTGCTGATTATACCCCACTTTGACTATGGAGGTGTGTCAGAATGTGATATTTGTCTAGCCCGCAGTGGGGTACTCTATAGCGAGTATAGCCCAAATTAGGGTTTGCTATATGTACTCAACTGCCTGCTAGTGCAAACACCTTTTACTGTTTCTGATTCCTGCCTAGACTTTCCGACACATAGGTGTAGGGAAAAGCATTCAAGAACCTCAATATCATTGCATATTCGAGTGGCACATGTTCAAATACACATATCGGAGCCTTTCCGGCTTGGTTCGTGCGTAACGAAAAGTTCGGCGCCCATGAATCCGGCCGCTTTGCCGACAAATATTTAGGATGCGCATGAATCCCCATTGGTGTTGGGAAAAGCAACCAAGAACCTCAATATCATTGCATATTCGAGTGGCACATGTTCAGATACACTTATCGGAGCC